TGGATTGGCTACAGCATCCACAGGGACCAGAGCAGGTTCTGGTAACAGAAGGGAGTGCTGCTGGGAAACTGCCCATAAATCTGCATGTGACTGTGGAACTGGGTGAGGGGAGGAAGCTGGATTTTTGTGTCACATGACAGAAATGTGCCTGATGCTCAAGCAGAGAGTTACTGGACATGTGGGTTTAAAGCATCTTCCTGTGAAGACCCAGAAGGAAGTGCAGGACATGATAGAGACAGATTGTATCATCATAGGAAATACCTGAATAATGATGAACAATAGCTTGTGAGAAATAGAAACATTAAGGATAATGAAGGCGGGGACAAAGAGAAATAAGGAACGTGTTACTGCAAACCATTGGGAAGGGGATCCCTGTTTCCTACACACACATTCTCACAGTGTCTCTGTTCTAGAAGGTGACACCTTCCCAGGTCCAGGGGATTCGCAATTGGACACCTTTGGGGTCATTACTGATCTAGTCTCAACATTAATCACCCAAACTGCATTTTTATTGAGTCTCAATTTATGAAATCACTCAACACTGACAGGGAAGATTGGACAGCCCTCACTGGAGGAGCCGTGGTGATGGTATGTCTGTATGAGGAGTCTTCATTTCATTGGACTAGGGCCCCTGTCTCAGTCCTTCATCATCCTCCTCTTCTTTCTCCTTCTCATTTGCTTACTTATCCTATCTAACAATAGACAACCATGGTAATTGGCCATACCTTCGCTATGCTTCCCAAAGGCTAATCAGAGCGATATGCAAATTAACTGCCAACAAAGATGGCGGTAATTTGCATACATAAGAGCAATGCTGGGAGGCGAAAGGGGAAGGATGGAAGAAGCTGTCTGCCGCTGATGGTGATTGGAAACCCAGCCAGCAGGCAAGAGCCTGGTGGTGGGGCAAAGGTGGCCCTGGGTGCCGCTTTTGTCCTGCCCTCCGGCCCGTGATGGGAGACAAAGGCCGCCTTTGCCCGCCCCTTGGGCAGTGTTGGAGAAGCCTGGTGGGGCAGGGAAGAGGCAGCTGCCAGGAGCTGCCTCTTCCATGACTTCCCCCCATCAGCCTGTGATTGGTGATCAGAGAAGTACCTGTATTGTGTTTTTTTTTTCAAAGTACCTGTATTTTTAATAATTTCTTGACATGGTAAAAGAATTTTACATTACAATCCAAGGGTGGTGGGGTGAGGAGAAGGAGCAGCAGAACAATCCAACAAACAAAAAGGGAAACAGAAATGCATGGAGGAAGGGATTTTAAGGGTGGGTATGGGCATTGCCCAACTAAAATTCAATTGGTTTGTTACTGAGTACTATTTATTCGTGGGAAGACAGCATCCTGACTCTGTCTCTATACAACATATAGGGAGTAAAAATGATGCATCCAGGTGGAAATATGATTAGCGGTTGGAAGACAGACAGGGAAAGAAGTCAGAAATAGACACTGAGAGAGTCACTGGCTGGCTGGCTGCAAATACTGACTCTCCAGTAGTGATAGAATAAAAAAGTGGGGGATATCTCTGGAAGATTCCAGAGCCTGGGCAAGAATGTGGGTCAGAGAGGGTTTGCCACCATACCAGGTAGTTCACATGTTGGTGGAAGATGGGTTACCCAAGCCAGCTGGAAAAATTCATCAGGACTTGAACGATGAAGGAAGCTAGGCTAAGCAGCATCTTTTAGGAAAAAGACAAAAGCTAGGATTGTTCTAAATGGGGGATGAGTTCAGCCAACAGGTCTTGTTTACAGTTATCCTTAAGGCTGTTCAGGATTCCTTTGACATCATTTTCCATTTCCACCACTAAGTTTCTGGCTTTGAAAGCATCTAGCGTATGGGCTGTTGCAGGGAGAGGATGTCCGAGCCAAATGAGGGAGAGCCTGCCTCTCTATTCCTTGGGCCTTGAGCTTTTCTCAGTCACTGTTGGGAGGCAGCGGCTTTATCTTTTTTGTGGACCAGGTCATGACCTCAGTGCTGCATTCATTTGCGTACCCTGGCTCTTGTATCCAGATCATTCCCTAGGTGAGAACCAGAGCACTCAGATTGTGACCCTCAAATCAGGGCCCTTCATTTTCTCCCCCTGTTAGATTTTTATAGTTTGAAGACACACTCTTTTAATGTGGGCCACCGCGAGTGCATAACGGGTGATGCCAGTGCTGGCATTTGGCTGTGCACAACAGTAATAGACAGGTATTATTCAGGTTAGAATCTTAACCGTTCCAGAGAAAACACAGACTGGGAGTCCTTAAAC